GGCCAAATTAAACGGTTAAACGGTTAAATGATTAAACGATTAAGAAAAATTTTAGGCGGTTCCAATCCCTACTATTTATTGATAAAACCAATCAAACTTCATTCTTGCATATTTTATAGCTAAGTTCACAATTACATGATTTTAATATCCATATAACAATAATGAAAATAGGTCAGAAGTAGACTATCAACTGAAGTTTGAAACATGTTCTAAACACTAAATGGACTCACCATTGAATGGACTCACCATTGAATTATGGATCATAATGATGCAAGACCGACGGAATGTTTAAGAATTTGTATTATAGATATTGTATGTTCACATTCACATTTTAAATTGTTACTATTAGTTAAATTAAAATTACAAGGTTGGTTTTTAAAGAACAAATCCAATGGTTTATTTTTATATTTTATAAACTTAAAAAGAAAAGTAACAATTTATGTAAAGCCAACATGTCATAAAAATGCTATTTAATTCCATAAAAGTTCTATTTTATTTCATTTTATTTCATAAAAATTTTAAAATAGAATACTGAGATGTAGTTTGGCATAGACAGCAAAAACTTACAGTTATCTTTCATCAGAAGGTATGTTTGTAACCAGATTTTATCATAGAGACAGTATGACTACAGAGTCTGCAGTTATCCCATAGCTTACAAGTTGTGGTTCACACTTGATTGTCAAAAGCTATACTGTGGGTACACCCAAAAATTTACTTGACTTATTTCATGAGTACTATGTAACAACCTGTGCTTTTTTAACAAGGTTATTTTCATTGGTCTATATGTAGACTGATGAAAATAACCTTGTCAAAATTGTTATATATTTAAAATCTCTTTATTATAAGCATTTATTTATTAATTCAAATAAAAAAAAAAAATTACAATATTTAATTGTTAAAAAAAAAAACATGCTAATAGCTAAAAATAATAATGAAAATAATAGTGAATTTCTTTATCATTTGAATGACTATCATTAAATTCTCTAATTTCTTTGTAAATAACAGGCACAAAATGATTAGAAAGATTGTTTAAAGCTGGTCTTGATTGTAATGAAGGTTTTGCAGAAGAAAACCTAGAAATATGTAATGGTTTTTTTGATGGTATTTGAGAAACACGAGAAGTTTGATCTTGTGATTTTCTAAAAGAAGGCTTAAATGGCGCATATACCTTTTTTGAATTATGCTGTAATCATAGTGGTTTTGGTCTTTTTGATGGTATTGACAATGATTTATACAATGTTCTTGATGATATTTTAAGCAATGTTTCTGGTAATGATTTATATGAAACTTCTGGCAATAATTCATACAATATTCTCAGTGATGATTCATGTAATGTTCCCAGTGATGATTCATGTGATGTTCTTGGCTTTTAAAGTATATTATATTATTGTATTAGAATATAATCAACATTTCTGATTTAAAAATTTTCTTATTTCATATTACTTACATACTGTTATAATATAGAGTATTGTATGTAAATTAGTTAATATTTATTTGTGTTGAAATATAATTGATATTTCTGATTTAAAAATTTTGTATTACTTACCAGTGATGATTCATGTGATATTTCTGATCATGATTCATTCAATGGTCCTAGTGATGATTCATATGATAGCCTCATCGATAGTTTACACGATAATCATGTCAATGATTCATATGATAGTTTATGCAACTTTTCTTTATCTAAAGGTGCTAAAAACCAAATAAAAAATAAAAAAATACCAAAAATCTAAATTAATAAAATAAATTATCTTTGTCATATTCTTCTTCCTCAAAATCCAAATAATTCTTCGTGTCCCCTGGAAAATATGTAAATTCTTTGTAAGGAATATTTTCAAGATCCAGAAAGATTAACATTGATGTATTCTTAAGCTGCTAGTCATCATTTGGGCTACTGTAGGCCCGAATACCTTCTC